AGCGAAACGTGTGAAAACGAGATGATGCCACCAATGGTGTGCGCATGTGTGCGCATAGCCCCTGTCGCATCCACCGCCAGGAATGATGAAACACGAAAAGAGATGGAGGATGTTGGAGGATGAATGACATGAGGTCCCCCAAGCTGCCCAAGAGATGCAGGTACATGCAGGTACGTGTTGCGGGAAAAATGCGACTTGCCACAAAGCAACTGCTACCGCACACGCATGCACACCGCAAGTTCTTCAAGTTAGGTGAGGCAAACGAGAACCAAAATCTAGCACTGGAGTACTTTTCTTCGATTGAACTCCTCAATAGCCATCCAACTGACAACCCTAATATCAAGTCCTTCAAGATAACGATAACTTCCCCTGGTTGCTGAGCGCCCTGATGCCTGCTCCCTGTCCTATGGGCCCGCGGTTGCAGCAGCGAGGCCCCAAGCGGTGCCTCCGGTCTCTCGCACGCCTCCTGGCGCTTTCTTTCATGTAAATTGTCCACAGAGCCTCACGCTCCTTCAACACACATGGCGCAACATCTTGTGATGACAAAAGGCTTCCAGGGACGGAGGATTCAAGGCTTGACTAGAGTGTGATCTCTTAGGATTCTGGCGTCTGGATGTACCTCAATCGATGTTGCACCCAAAGGCCTCTGATTTACTTAACGTCATTGTAAACCTTAGCGTAGCCAGCCTCGGCTAAGGAGGAGGCCAAGGTTGCCAGCAAGACCACGACGAATCCGCGAATCATTCCTCGGATCTTTCGAGGCCCCAAAGTACTTTTGGGCACTGGGTCCTGAGTACCCTTTGAAGGCCACGCCAGGGGCACAACAGCATCCACGGGATTACCGGCACACATTACAAAAAGACGTTTGACGCCACGGCTTGAGAGACTTTGCAAGCAGTACGGGCGTCGGGGAGCAAAAGGCAGCCAAGAGTCGGTGTGCGCCTCCCCTGCGGCCTACGGGCCTACGGGCCTACGGCCTACGGGCACGCGCCGGTCGGTACTGAAAAGCGAAAGTCAGTGGCTTGAGCCAGACCATTGAAGCAGGAGACATCAGCAACGCCGGGCAAAAACACGCTCAAGCCCAGCCGCAGCCAGACTTACGCTACCATTTATCTAAGCCCCACCGCACAAGAACTCAAGCCTAAACAGTCATTCGTGACTCTCCTCTCAACGCTTTCCGGGTCCTCCGTCTCAGGTTGGCCTCTGCTACGTTCGGCAGTCCTTGCTTGGCATGCAGGAGGAAGCTTCGATGGCTGAAAGCTTCTTGTGATGTGCTTGCTTGGTGGGCTATACTGGGAGACAAGCAGCGCTGAGAGCCATCACGAATACTACAGTACGGACCTGGCACCTGCCGCACACAGCATTTCTCTAGCTTAACCCTCTCATCGCCCAGATTCTCGATTTGGTGGGAGCTGTCCAGACCGAGCTGGCCTTGGTCGCTTAGTCGCCGGTTTGTGCAAAACTCTGCCCAACCTCTTCTTAAACGAGACCAGGATTCTGTCATGATTAGCCTTTCATGGGCTCAAAGAGTTCCAAGATTTATTGAGGCTTTGGGGTGCATTTCGAGGTCAAGATGCTGCGCTGCTAGGCATGGGGTGCAGCCACTCCTCTTGGCACACGTTGTTCGAGTTCTGATGTACGAACCCTTACGACCTTACGAGATGCTAAGGCAATGCCACTAGGATTCTAGGCTGTCTTAGCCCCATTCTGCTGCAACGGTACATGCACATGCGCTTCTCTGAGCCGAAGGCCGGATTCTTGCCAAAGCTTGGAGGTAGCTTGGTGTTGCCTCGGCAAAAAAGGCACTTCTCCAGCTGCAGCCGGCAACAAACTTTCCGGCAGTATCGCCTTGTCACTAATGCGCACAACGTGCACGTGCAGCGCTGAGGCCTAGACTGAACCAAAATCCAATCCAAAGCTTCTAGAAATTTCTAGAACCTAAGCCCTCGAATGCTGGAGAACCAAGTTGCTCTTCATCTCCGACGACGGCGCCTGCAAGGCAGCAGTCGCCAAGTGTCCCTGGACTACTAGTTGCTTAACAGCCCCCCAAAACATTAACAATATTCCTCCTTCAAGGGCAATGTAGGGATGTTCATTTGTTACTGTTTTGGGGTTCTTAAGCAAATAGTAGTGGAAGCTTATTCGGTGGGGACACCCTTCTAGGTCTCATGGAAGCTAGAAACACGGCAGAAGAGGATCTCTGTAAGGGTTTGATCAACCCTGGCTCCGAGATGCTCCGAGCTAAGCCTGCCTGCAAAAGGCATTAGCACAAGGGTTCTTGGGGGGTTCTCTCTCTCTCTCTCTCTCTCTTTCTCGGTTTGGTTTCAAGGGTTCCGGGACTCTTGGGATTGATTGTAAGAGCTTCGAACAGCGGGCGAATGCTTCCACTAGCCTACTAGCAGGACCTATTTGTTGCAGGAGAGACAAAGAGGGAATTGGCTCACCAACACCATTCTTCTAACCATGGCCTGTTGCTGCTAGACTGCAAGTTTGGTCAACCTTTCTTGGCTGTTCGGGCAATTCTTACCAACCAAACCGTCGTTCTGCCAAAAAACACAATGAACCCCAAAATCTCCCCACAAACAGCAACCGCCACAAAACCAGCAACATGACTCTCTGGACCGAAGCTGAAAAGGGAAGGTCTTGAAGCTGGCAGGTCTCTCAGCCTCGGCCCCGTTGAGGGTGGCGATTCGTCCCCTAAGATTCCTGGGCTCTCCTTGCTGTGGAAGGGATTATTGAGCTTGGGGATTGTTGGGACGTTGTCGGGGCTTGGTATGGCTTGAAGCTGTCAGGGCTGAGAGATTGAAGCTTTTGGTGGTCCAACAGGGATTGGGGCGGGTGTTAGGGTCTGTTAGGTGGCCTTTGGGTCTTGGGCATGTGGATCCCAGTGAACCGACGTCTCTTGAGCCGCTAACGGCTGAGCAGCATACACACCACTACGACTCAAGACCATCTCGACTCTACTTTGCTAATCGACGATTCCATGCCAACAGCCGCTGAATCTGAAATCGGACCCCAACTCGACTCGTCACACACACACACACACACTTTCTATTACAGCTTGCGTTCCCACTCCCAGCTGCGAACAGTTCTGGGCGATCCCAACTACGCTGTCGGTAGCCATCTCTTCTGACAGGAAAGAACTCATAAAACGCATGAACTGTCAAACAGTTTGTGGCTTGATGGCATGTACTACTACTTGCCTATGTCAGCACTAGACATCTACCAACCTAATTCGAAAGCCTGAGCTCCGAAACCCCACACCGGGAGGGGGGGACCAGACTCCTGCGATGCTCTAGGCATCTCTAAGCCTTGCAGAATCTGAGCTGGCCTGTGACGAAGGTTGCTAGCCAAGGCCATGTCGCCCAATTGTCGAACCTTGCGCTAAGTCTTGCGCTGAAAAATCTGTTGCAAGCGCGCCGGCTGCCCAGGGATTATGCAGATGCGCAAGAAGCCAGATGCCGCTCCAAGTCCCCCCTTCAAGGCCCAAGCTGTTGGGAAGATGGTTTCCTTGATCTTGTAGGTTCGCCTCGTGAAGTGCTCCGTGCATCACCAGGTCTAGGATGTTGGAAACATCATCACAAACTACTGCCAAGGTACCGGCAACGGGGCACATCAAACCCAACAAGGGCGGAGCACTTCTGCCACAAGAACCTAAAAAATGACGCCGTCCGTCATCCCATAAGCCCATAAGCCATAATACTGAAACAGAACGGTCCCCCAATCCCTGGGCAAGCTCAGCCGCGAACACAGCTGTCAGTATCCTAAATCACAAAGTCCTATTCATTCCAAGTTTGATTTAACAAGACCGAAAGTCAAGGAAAAACCAGAACTGCAAAAACTGCGACGCGTCCCCACATGCACACACAGCCTCTCCCTTGGGTCAAACCCTGGCAAAATGCCTCCGGGTCCACAAGTTGCTCCTCGGTCAAATGGTTAGGCAGTTAAGCTTCAGCGCACATGGCACTTTCGAGACCTTACGGGTACTCCTAGGTAACTTCTGGCAGCAACCTGGATTAGGGATGCTCGGCTGCTAGTCAAAAAAGGCTCTCCCAGACCTCCCAAGCTTGCTGGTGTTCGATCTTTCCTCAACGGCATAAGAATAGCTGCTACAATTCGTAGGTCGTGGCTTCTTATGATTTTCCACTGATTTTCCATCGCTGGTTTCAGCTCGGTTTGTTTTCTAGTCAGGCTTGCTTCTCAGACACGAGAGCAATTCAGGGCTCCTCGCAACATTGTCTCTCAGAAGTGGCAAAAGATGGCACCGTGGGGAGCGGCGGGACTAAAGAACTCTCATATATGTGAGAACTGTTGAGGTCAACCACGCACAAATTCCACCCTAATTTCGTTCTCAAAATGCCTCAGGTGCAACCGTAAATCTTCCACCCAAGATCTCTGATCACAAAGCAACAACTTTCAAAACAGAGCCCGTGTGGTCACCTCTGCCAGTCCACAAGGATGGGATCAGCCGTCCTCATGGCAGAGATGATTGGTCATGACCCTGAAAGACTGGGGCCACTTCTGAAAGGTTCAGGTCCCATGGTGGTTCATTCAAACGGGGTGTAGAACAACTTCTGCAAAGAAATGCCCGTCTATTGGGTGTCTTGATGTCAGAGCTGATGTGAAGCCTGCATAGGGTGCTTGGGTGCTTGGGCAGAAGTAGCTTCAAAACGGAGTGAACTTGCAGCTGGGTGGCAGATTGTACTGCCGCTGTCGTGCGTCGATTCCTCGGCATTCAAGGACTTTGACACGAACCTTTTCCTTCACGGCACCCTGGCCTTCAAGCCCACGCACGTGTCTTTTTCCCGCGCTGTCTAGCTGAATCTAGCTGCACCCTCAAGAGTTCGCATGTATGCGAACAAAAGCGTGAGGTACAGACGACTTCAGGCCCTGCCCATCGCGCGATCCAGACCGCAAGGTTTCATGCGTGTCTCTAGATTGCGGTTTGCAAAAGAAGACATGCCCGATCTACAGTTGCAAAGTGGGCAGACACGATGCCCCTACACGGTGCGCGGCTTCTTGTGGTTGTTCTCTGCCTCGTCACCTTGACGATTGAGCGGGGCAGGTATAACCAACTTGGAAACGATGGGTTCGCTGCCAGCCCGTAAGCTGGCTGGACTGAGCTGCGGTAGTGTATGCCTTGGGCTTCTTTAGGTTGTTTTTAAAGCATGCGTGGGTCGGCATGAATTTTCGGGGACTGCAAGCAGAGAAGGCCTCAAAGCCTAACAGCTTCAAACCCTCGCCCTAGTCTGACAAACATCTCTGCCCTGCGGCTGGACGAGTCCGACGCATAGGCGACGAGACCCTGGGCCGGCGCGGCGCTGTTGTGTCCTGCCTGGTCGGGGAAGCCATAAACCCCTTCCGCATTCTGACCTAGTGTACCATGGCCCAAATTGTCTGGACTTTGGGGCTGCGGGTTTTGGTCCTGCATCATGCCTGATCCATGTCTTTGTATCTCTGCAGCTTATATCTGCATCTAACGCGCCTCCGGCCAGCTGGCGTGTGTCGCGCGACCAGATGCTCTCCGCAGGGCAAACTCCGCCCGGGCCACATGGTGCCAGGTTTGTACCTTTATATACAGGGTTCAGACGTATTTTGGATTTCGGCCAAGCACACTTCTGGATGAACCTGCGTGTTACTATCGCAGGTTTCGGCTAGTTGGACTGCTCCGTGCAGCAACGGCTTCGAAACCGAGATCGTTTAGCCTTTAGGTTATGTTTATGTTGTTGTGGTTGTGCAATCCGAAGTACTAGGGAGGAAAGCCGGGCCTCCCGTGCCACGGCAGCCGCAGTTTTCAGGCCGGGCAGGGAGTTGGAGGAGTCGTGGAACTGCTTCACGGACGCCTGCTCAAAAACCCCTAAGCCAAGGCGATCCCTGGCGTCTGGTCCTGCTTCGCTGGTCCCCCGCAGCAAGAGGGAAGTTTCCACTCAAGCGAGGAGGGGTCCTTTATCGAAGGGCGGAGCAAAACCTGGACCTAGAAGCCACACAAAGCCACCTCGCACCCAACGATCAATCGACTCGATCAAACAAGGGCTCCTTCAAAAATGTTCAAAGTCAACTGAGGACCTCAACTTAATAGAAAACGTCAATCGAAGCTCTGCAAAAGGCCTCGAGTCGCCTTGCTGCGGATGCTGCAAGCTCAACCAGGGACTCGTCCTGGTTCATGGGGGCGATTTAAGAGTCTAAGACTCTATGGTACAAAGGAGGGCTTTTGCTGCACTGGAACAAGCGGGAAGGACTTCATGTTCTACCAATATTGTGCTGCTCCAGTTGCCTGGCTTCAGTTTGCGTGTGGGAGTGCTCATGACCTCTCAACATGATCTCAGCATGCGTTCTTCCTACCTCAGTCAGGATTCAGGTGCATCACAAAGCCCCAGGGCCCATACTTCAGAACCATTTAAGGTAAGGGACCATAGAAAGGGGCCATGTAACTTCCCTTGAAGGAAGGGGCAAAGTCAGGTGGGCTTCCATTGCTGATTCGTTTTTGGTGCAGCACGATCCCGATCGAGTGGCGTTGCTGAGCGTGGAAGTGTGGTGGATGTCCACAATCGAGTCTGTAGCGCATGTTATGTGATACGGCAATCTCACATCTGGAAAGCAACATGTATGTCATTGGATGTACTCGGTCGCGATAGTCGGGGCGACTCTCTTGTGCACTTCGCTGGACAAATTGCGCACCATCCATGCAACAACCGCTGCTTTCCGATTCCATGTTCCTAGAGTTGCCATGGGCACTATATGCTCCTTCCCTCAGTGAGATTAACTTCTGCTGCCAGGTTGAAGAATCCACTATGTCATGCTGGAAGCGAGAGAGCTTTCTCATGTCTGAGTGTCAACACTTGTAGTTACGATGTTGCTGTGTCAAATTGGCTCTCACACGGTCTTGGCGTTGGCCCCTTGAGCCTCTTTTGTTGCTACTTGCCGGTGCTTTAGCCGTGAAACTTCGTGCCTCGGGTTTGGAGACCGACTAGATACTTACGGTGCGACTTGGGACACAAAAGAACGAGAGAGAATTAGACAGATAGGATAGAAAAGCTTGTGGCTTGAACAGAAACCAAAGAAAGCCAGTGAACATCCACGAACATGTAAAAGAGGAAAGCAAGAAGGCTAAGTGGTTATCTCGCTAGCGAGCTGCGGATGGTTTGGGCTTCCTTATACCTGTGTGAAAAAAGGTCCTCTTTTGCATCTGCGAACTTTCGCACTAAGCATCCCCAAGCCCAAGCTGCACCCTGGTCGGCCCTGGTTCCTCTAGAGTCTAGAACCTCAGCTTCACTCTGCTCAGTTTGTGCGCCTTTTTCAACTGGAGCTTTGGGGTGTTCTACCAGCATCTACTAGCCGCGAGGCTGCAGAACCCCGAAAGACAGAATCCTTCGGCCATCCTCAGCCCCCCTTGGCTCCTCAGGCACGGTCCGGTACTTCTGCAGCACCTCTCGTGCAAACTCGTGCAGTCTTGCAGGGAGCCAGGCGTTCGGATGTTGCATCGAAGTCGCCCTTTTTTGCTCCATGCACAAAGTCGCAATCTCTGGTGACACGCAATAAAGTTAATTAAGACCGGCTGAACAAACAAACTCTCTCACTGTGTCCTGCGTCAGTCCCTGGCCATATACTCCTGAGCCTCCGCCTGTTGGGGGAGATACATTCCTCACGGTCCTTTTCTTGCGCTCATCGCAAGGAAGGCGCGTCAACAGGTGTCCTGAATCACCTCTGGCATCCTCCGGCGACATATTGCCTATCATCTCGTGGGCAGTATCGATGTGATCATTGCGATCAGCCTCCAGCTGAGCTGCAGAAGCTGTCGATGTGCTTCAGCACCTGCATCATCACGTGTTGGCAAGTCCTGTATCCGTGTTTTGTGGAACTTCGGAGGTCATCCCAAATCATCACGCCGTCCTGAACCAGGCTCCGCAGCATGCTACAATTGTACATAAAGTCATAAAGGGCTGCAGGCACTTGTGGCCTCGCTTGCCCCTGAAAGGATCCACATCGAGGTAGTTCTGCCTTTTGGTGGGACCCGGAGGGTGCTCGAAGGAAATTTCCTACTCGGTCCTACTCACGCGGCACACGTAACAGCGATACATGGTGAGGGAAGATGAGCGAAGGACCTACGGATGTTCAAGAACGGGCAAAGCACTTCAAAAACTATGAACAGACTATGCAAAGCCACCTCGAAGAAGAGGCCGCAAGGCTTCCACGGCGCCCGCTCACGGGCCAGTCTGGGCTCTGTCAAGAGCCTGGGAAAAGGCAAATATGAGGGCACCTTGCCCACACCCAGAGTTTTCTTGGAAGCGATACATGGTCGCATTAGGCGCTTAATTGCGCTGATGTTCCTTTTCAAAGTGAGAGGATACGCGGATTTTGCAAAGACTTGTTTTTGCCGCCCACCTAGCTGAACAAACACTTTAGACTTCAGGGTTTAGGCGCTTAGGATGACAGTAACTCGTGTCGACGACTTTAGTTCAGATCCAAGGAACTTCTCGCAAAGCGCAGGAACCTGCGGCAGCTTGCCGACTCTCTTGGGGCTTTAAGCACTTTGGCTTGCACTTTCAAGTCTCAGGGTCGACATGGCAGGACTCCACATGCCCTGCCTCGTCCAGCCAGCGCCGTATCGGTGCATCCAGGGCCTCGAGTGATCGGCAGGAGACTTCTACAACAAGGAATTTAGGCCAAAGCTTGACAATGCGAACAACCCCATGCAGCCAGGCACAAGTTACCAGGGACAATGGGTCAAAGCACAATTCGCCGGGTGGAGACCCACAACTTCAAGTCCCTGAGTCGTGTGGGATGTTGTGCGCAGCCTCTCTGCTGTTGTCACGAAGTTCAAAAAGACAGATAACAAGCTCTTTGGCTGCAACAACCCTAAACCCGCCTTCAACCTCACCTTCCTTGCCCCTGAGCTCATGCCCTACAAGCTCAACCCTGAACTCTAAACTTGCTTTATATTCCCCTTGGCCCCTCTCCCACATACCCTCTACCTGCCTGGAGCAGCCTGAATGTCGAGCTCGGAGATGTGAGATCCCCACTGGGAACCACGGTGCCGAGCCAGCGCAGCCGTTCCTGATGGCAAGTCAGGGGCGGTGAGTTTGGGGCCTGGATCCCTGTGCATGGGGCGCTTGAGACGGAGAGTCAAGGACCGTCTGTCAAGAAGTCTGGCCTGCATTTGCCAACTGGCCTGAAAACACAACCCATACAACCCCTCACCACCTTCCCACCCCCACCCTGGCTCCTCCAGATTCCGAGGTGGCGAGCGAGTGGCCAGCAGCGACCTGAGGTTTCTGGGTTTATCAGCACCTCGAATGCTACTCCGTCCCTCCGCAACCAGAAAACGCACCCAAGAGCGATGTTCAATGAGTTCATGTCCAATCGCATCCAAGATTCTCCAGGTGTTGCAACTGAACCTGCAATGGGCTCTGCTTGCAACGGGGCTTCCGTGCCCCACCAGATCTGACGAAATCTGGCCAAGTCACTTGGAAACCGAGGTTTGGATAGGCTACGCTGCGCTTCTGCTGCACCTGCCTCGGCCCAGATGCCGCTCAAACGCCAAACAAGCTGCACGCATGCGCGTGCGCGCACACACACACACACACCGTTAGTCTTAAGTCAACCCACTTGGCCCGAACCCGATGCCCTACAATTCCAAGTTTTATCATGTTTTGTCTGTGGTCATGCACCGCGTGCTGCATCCCCATCTCCGTCGCAGTGCTATCGAGATGTGTTGTGTGTAAGCTGCGCAAATCTAATAATTAAGCGGCAAACTGACACTATCATGCGTGGATTCGGGTTGGTTCTGTCCAAGCATCGCTTTGGCCTCTTCGTAGCTCTTGCTCTTTGACAGCATCAGATATGCGATGACCTTTGGAACAGCTGCATGTTGCAGTGGTCGTTTTGCTTCGTTTCTATAACAAGTAACAAGGCGTTGGAGCGCAAAGGAGGCAGATTTTGAACCACGACAGATGACAAGGGGGACAGAAACTATGAACCGATGCACTCCACGCAATGGCAGCATCCTTAGCTGATCACCCACACCCACAGTCCATCCCAACTGTGAGAGACTCAGGCAATCCTAATCCACCACCGTTTTTGCAACGAACTGCAACAGTGCTGACCAACAACGCAAACATCCGAGACAGGATCTGAGAGCTTCCTGAACTCAAGCTCAGCTGCAACGCTGGAGCTGCGGGAGATGCCCCGTGTGCAGTGCACCAGGAGCCGGCCTCTCGTCTGGAAGAGATCGGCATTCAAGAGATCTCAACAGCATTGCGCTATGAGCCCACAGCTTTGATGAAGCCGTGTATCCGTCTGCCCCGCCTTTCTGCTTGACGCATCGGTCCACAAATCGTAGTGCACTGGGCAGCAGCTCCTCTACATCGTGATGGGATTGAGGGTTTGTGCAAGCTCGGCTTCGGACTTAAGCTTGCAGGTCGAAACAGAAGCTGTATTTGGCAGGTCTTACGGAAGTGAGGCCCTTTCGCATGACATGCATCACGCATCTCGTCTCTGGCTCCAGGAGATTGTGACTCGGCGAGTCATCAAGGCTGGCCCGCTGGTATTTGTACCTTACGAGCGGGTCATGCTGTTGTGGCAGGGTCTCAGGGTTTCACGAGGTAGAGTCGAAACCAGGGTTCCATTCCGGCGCTGGAGCAATGTACAGTGACACGCCGCCTTCTTTCCTATTGTTTCATTGCAACCTTTCTTCCACTTCTTACCAGCCACACGTGACGCTAGGCTCGCCCATGAACAGAGTGTGGACAGATGCGCTTCCCGCAGGACCCCGCAAGACCACGAGGCGCTTGTCTGTAAGCCTTGAGCCTATGGGCTTGAGGTCACGATACCATGGGCATCAAAAGCAAGGCTAAGCAAGGCTATGTGCGCCTGCGCACCTGTCCGGCCACAGGGTCGGCAAGGCAGGGTGGACAACGAGGATGTGCCTCGGATGTAGGGAGTGGTCAGGCTTCACGTGCAACTTCACCCAGCAGTCCTATACATTTATTAAATCCATGCGTGGCTCGCCAGCGTCGCTCGCAAATTATCAGACACATTTGTGCCCATGCACGTGGCGAAGCACGAAAGCACCTACTGCGAGGTGGAAAATGCAACGCGTGCAAGAGTGTTCTGGAGCTGGGTGCTTGCTGCTGTTTTGTGATCGCTTCAAACGGCCTGGCATGCGTACCCTTCTGATCTAGGCTGCTCTTTCAAGATACGCTACCCGTGCAACAACAGCACCGTCCATCCCTGTCCATGACACTGCTTACAAGCACAAGTCGCAACGAAAACTGGCAACGCCCTTCATGCTTCACATCTATCTCTGTCCATATCGGGGCAGGCTGATCATGGCTGTTTCACAGCCCTCAGCCATGCAGAACCTGCTAACCACCATTGCAAGAAAAGGCCTGCGGAGGAGTTGTAAAGATTCTGAGTTTTAGCTCACTCTTTCGTGATCTTTTGTATCAATACAAAACAGTCATCTTTACTGGAAGGGTGATCAAAGGCAGCAATGCAGCCGAATTAAGCGTAGTGCTCCAGGAGCATCTGGGGCCGAAAATTCATTTGCGGGAAATGGTCCTTCGTCTCGTCCTCCAGCCCTCCTGTCGCATGTGGGTCGCGAAGCTGGGTTTAGCAACAAATAGTGGCCCTCCCAAAAGGATGCTTTGAGGCAGATCTCCTCCTTTCCAGTCCGGTAGTCGGCCCAGGTTGAAATTAACGATCTCAGGTGCCTGGCAAACACTAGCAAACGCTGGCAAACACTTCTGCACACCTTCGCTATGTGTGTCTCTTTTGCCAGCAGAGTTGAACGACTTGAACTGCAACCACATGGCTTAGACGTGCAATGTGCGTTACAACAGGGCTCATCGACTTTCAGGTGTTGTAAGGGTGGCTGTTAACGGGCATCAGGCCGTGGTAACTACACGTCAGCCCAATGAAATCGGTAAGCAGTGCAAGCATGACTTCGGCTCGTGTGCTGGAAGCACTGTACGCAACCTACGATGTTTTAAAATTGTAAGGCAATTCCTCCACGCGAGTTAACCTGTGAAGGTACACAAGTCCAGCCTTGGAATTCGAGAAGCAACGTTGGAGAAAAAAACAAGGCTACTCTTGGCACTGCAAGCGCTGGTTCTCAAGCTCGTGCCACCCGGCGCGAAGGCACTTGGGCATGTCCGCCAAAAAAAACCGCTTGTGACAGTGCGTCCGTCTTGCTGCACAAGCGTCAAAGATGTCGTGCAAAGGGGCGAAAACAAACGCTCAATGCAAGCCACAACTACCCCTCCCCCTCAACCGCAGATGCCTGACGGCAAACCCGGGTTTAACTCGCCCTTTGCCCTTTGGAGGATCACCTCCGCGCGATCTTGAATAACGTGGCACTGGAGGCTCGGCGCTGACAGCAGGAATATATCGGCATTGTACAGGTTGTCGCACTCCAGCAGGCCCACTGCCCCAAGCGGACCGGGAGTACTCCCAGCCAAGAGACGGTGAATGGTGAGACCACCGGAGGCGCCCAAGTCCTCCAGGCCTTCAGCATCGACTGCTATGTAGCATGTAGAATGGAGTGGGCAATTGCAGCTGACTGGAACCTGCGGGTACAGATGAAGAGCGGCCCTTCTCTCAGGCAGGTAGCTCCGCGGTCCAGCCAGATCACCAGATCATGGGGTTTTCCCCCGGCACCTCAACCTCGGATCTTTTTGGGCAATATTCGGTGTTGATTTCAAGCGCTGAAATCCTGGAGCGGCGCGGAGCGGCCGCTGGCGGTGGCATCCACCCTTCTCCCACACCCGCACCATGGGGCCAAACAGTGGCAGCAACTGCAGAGGCCCTTTTGCTGCCCAAGCGAGGCAAGTCATGCAGGGCCCATGTGAGGAGAGGGCGTCGAGAAGCCATTCGGCCAAGGATGCCAGGAGCGGAGCGAAACACCCAACCACCCACCTGAGCACTGGTACGTGGGACGCATCGGCCTCACTTCATGACTGGTTAGGAGGCTACTTGGTTCCATTCTGAGTGAAAGTCGGATGTGGGGAAGAGGAGGCCGGAAGCATCTGCCGCATCAACCAACCCCACGTGCCCGGAAGCACGACGGAGAGAACGGCTTCAGGCACGTGGCTTTTGTGGCAAAGACCTTCTACTAAACAAAGTGTCTCGATCCGAAGCCTGAGAACACGGCAACGCTTCCATGCTGAACTCTCCGTTGGTATTGTAACAGATGGCAGACAACACCAGCAGTCGAGGGGACCGTGCGGAACTTAGCTATGTATAGCATTAAGTGCAATGCTGTACATGGTCAACACTTCGTCATGCCTCACCTGCTTCTGAGGGAGGGGACCCGCGCTCATGACTCAGGGCCACCCATCTGGACTTCAGGGACTTGCGTGATTGGCATATCTAGGTTGAGAGTTACAGAGCTTTGGGCATATTTCTCCTTGAACCTGAAGCTTTTACAGATTGTTGAGGGCTCCACCTGGCCGGCGATGGACCTGTCCTCCAGCTCGTAGTTCTCCTCAGTTCCGAATGAAGTCGAGGGTAGGTCAGCGATGGGTCTTAAGACTTAAGACTCGCAAGACTTCGGGTTTGCTTTTCGGATTTAAGCATCGCAAACCCAAACCAGTTAACTCCTTTGATCAACCTAAGCCTACCGGACACTTGCAGCACCTGAGCCAAATCTCAAGTCTTGTGGGCTTGTTGCTTCGACGTTGGCTCATGATTTTGTACTTTCGAAGGCAAGAATCAAGTGTTTTCAAGGTCACTACTGAACTTGATGCCTGGGCACTCCCAAAACCACCCTCAGGCTTATCAATCTTCTTAGGCTGCTCTAGAGCATTTGAAAGGATCGATCCAAGACTCCCAGGTCAAGCAGTCGGACATCACGCGTGCCCCGCCGTGATGCAGCGAAAAGGCTAGCCTGGCAGGGAGGCGCTTCAAGGACTGCATGCACACCGTTTTGAAGCAGCAGAGTTCGGAATATTGCAGACAATTCCACAAGAAATCCGAAGCAGAACAGGTTGTCAATCACACCCCACGTGCGAAAGTAGCAACCCCCCTAAAGCATAGATGTGCCTAGACCCTCGGCCGAAAGCCACACCCTGAAACCGACAAACATCTACAAGTCCATGGACTGCAGGCAGACTTCATGAACAGTACCAAAGGCCCAGGCCCTGCCATAGCTTCTAAATCCGTACCCTGCCGTATCCCCTGTGCAGTTCAAGCCGCCGATAATCGCCATCTGCTTCCTCGCAGGTGATGTACAGCATGGCCTGCGGAGGTTACATTCATTGCCCTCCGAAGCCCTCAAATGACCAATCAACCTTGCACCGAGCCCTAATTCCAGAGGCTTTAAGCAAATGACATTATGCAGTGTTTGAGGCTTTCAGGGTTCAGGACTTCAGGGCTCATAACTTGAGAAAGCCCATCTGGAGTTTCCCAAGCCTGGCACAGGCATGGATGTTTCCAAACTCCAAGCCACCTTCGCCGAAGCCTTCGTCAAATTTGCTACATCCCGAACACGTTTCGCTAACTTAATGTCAGCAAGTTCGAACGAACCCGCAGCCGTCCTAAGCCCCAAACAGTTTTTTCAAAAGCGGCCTCTTTCGGGTCGAAAGTGTAGGTCCCCGCCTCGCAGCTGCGATAGGTCTTAAACGCTCAGCCCCGAAAGCTGTCCGCAAAGGCTCACAGTTTTAGCATTCTTAAATTGGAGGGGGTCGGGGCTGGTGGGTTCGGGGCTCTGACGAGGCCCAGGGTGCGGGAGTTTCGGAGTGTTCGCCAGTGTGGGCCATAAACTCCGTGCATGTGACAAAGAAGAAAACGGTACTGTACATGTCTCGCACACCAATCACACCATGAACATGTGGCAGTGTGGCACAGTTCATCTAACTTAAGCCTCACGATTGCCGATGCATATTTTGACCTGATCGGAGTCTAGCGAAAACTTGTCCCATCTCGTTGCCGCTCATTGGTTCCACTGTGCTCTTCTTCGCAGCAAGTAGTCGGCTAAACAAAAACAGTACACCCACCAAGCGACATAGATCCGGCGCCGGATCCGGTCTGCATCACCCGCGGCAGGCACGGCGCCATCAGGGATACCCCCCGAACGGACCTGGGATTCTTACAATTAGTCGTTATGGTTTCCATGGAAAGAGGAATGTACGCATGCAGTGGGCCAGGCTCCATGCTCTTCTGCTGTGCTTCGAACACAAATTGCGCAGGAGCCCCTTGTCTTCTTGCACATTCTCGACTTCCTCTGTGTCTGTCTGTGCCTGCAGGACTTGCGATCCCAGATTCAGGCTGAGGGAAAGATCGAAATATACTGAGCAACCCTACGGCTCAAAACCACCCTTAGATCAAACTCTACATGCCTAAAAGAAGGTTAGCTGCTCCAGAGTCGATCAGAGCCGCTGTCCTTTAAACATCGAGTATCAGTCGAGTCTCTGGATTGCAGTGCGTCGCGAAGTCGACACCCTGAACTAACACCTGGGGAGCTTTTGAAGCTTCTTTGAGGCTGTTGAAGTGCAAGGTACAGGTTTCACCATCTTTCATTCGACGCCAGGCATGAGCATTGCAACTCAAGTAATAGAACGCAAAACCCCTGGTCCCAAAAAGTGGTACGCTCCGGATCAGTCTGACTCCAAAATGCAACCGATCCATGCCAAAAGCCCCAAAACACTCCACCGGTGGCTGCTAAAGTGCGCCAGCACATGGAACTTGAATCATCGAGCTTGCCAGCAGAAGCCTGACTTGCTCTGACTGACGCCCTCAGCCACAAACCTCTGCAACCCGGCCGCCCGCTCGGCAGCATCGCGCGGGCAGGGATCTTGTAGGACCAGGGCACGTCCGCCACCCTTTACGCGATTGATGTTGGCTTTGTTCTCCGATGGATTTCGGCCTTTGGGCTGCGGGCCTCTCGGATTTGAGTGCTCGGATTCTGGCTGCAGTTTAATAGGTGTTGCAAGGGTTCGGGTTCGAGTTCCTGCTGTTCACGCGCGCACCGCATACACTTCATACCCTCACATGCTGCTCGCACCGGTTTTTACAGGTTTCGCCTGGGCCAGGTGCCGAACGCGTCGCTTGTGTCGCATGCGATCTCTTTTTTTTTTCGCGCTCGGAAAGTGCAGGGATTCATAGTGTGTTCCCATACTTCGGTGCCAAAAGGTTCGGCATGCACAGTGCTTCCTGCCATCTAACGGACTTTTCACATCCTAAGGCTCTCTCAGACAACCCTGAACCCAAAAAGGAATGCCCGTGCAGTGCAAAAAGTGCCGCAAACTCCCCACACATCTCCACACAACGGGGCAAACCCGAAGCAAACACTTTTCACCAGGCCAACCTCCAACACCCCAAAATGCGTGTGATCCTTGTTGGTTGCTGGTGGTGGTGGCGGTGGTGGTGGTGGTGGTGCTGCTGCTAGTGGTGTAGTTGGCGTTGTCGTTGTCATGGTCGTTGTTGCGTTCTTATCGCGATCGTTCTCGCCGTGGTGGTCGTTGTTGGTTCTTGGTTGCTGGTGGTCTGTTTTTGTTAGCGGTGGTGTTTGCTTATAGTGATTGTGACTGTGATTGCGACTGTGATTGTGGTTGTGATTGGGGCTGTTGTGGTCGTTGTGGTTGTCGTGGTTGTTGAGCTTGTTGTGGCTGTTGTGGCTGTTGTGGTTGTTGTGGTTGTTGTGGTTGTTGTGGTTGTTGTAGTTGTTGTGGTTGTTGTGGTTGTTGTGGTTGTTGTGGTTGTTGTGGTTGTTGACGTTGTTGTGGCTGTTGTGGTTGTTGTGGCTGTTGTGGTTGCTGTGGTTGTTGTGGTTGTTGTGGTTGCTGTGGTTGTTGTGGTTGTTGTGGTTGTTGAC